TCCCCTCTCCGAGCCTCAGTCCCTCCTCTACAGAGGGAAAGGTTGGACCAGATCATTTCCAACATCCTTTCCACAATGGTGTTGAGGGGGATCACCCACAGGTCTGCAGTTTGTATTCATGTACATGCTTCTGTGCGCGTGAGAGAGAAAGATGGACAGCTAAAACATGGGGAGGTGCAGGGAAGCTGCAGGAGTGGGCAGAGGGGTGAGCTGCTGGGGAAACCCAAAGTCTACCTCCCGGAGATCTGTTCCCTACAGGGCTCCACTCTCGCTCATCATCCCCTGTGGCTCCTGCGTGCTACAGAGGAAAGTCCAAAGGCTTTCATCCAAAGACTTCACACACTCACTTTTCTCTCCGGCTCCTCTCCTTCATGTCTCCAACTCATCCAGCACTAATCACACAGGGACAGTGGCTTCTTCCTATTCAGTTAGGTCCCCCTCTAACTGGAATACTCCTCTCCCTTTGTTCCTGACAAACTCCTACACATCCCTCAAAGCCCAGCCCCAAAGATCCCTCCTCCAGGAATTATTTCCTACCCTAACTGCCCCTTATTCTGAGTTCTCACAGCACCCCAGGCACACCTCCATCACAGCTTCAGAACCACCGAAGGTACTACAGTTGAGCAACCAGTAAAAGTGGGTGGTTGAAAGGAAACAAGACTCACTTCTAGAAGCATTTGCAATCAACCTGATACTGAGTTTATCTGCAGCTTCCGCCAGCCCCCTGAGCCTTCCCCTCACTGACACTTCTTCTCCAAATCGCAAAAAATAGCCGTGAGACCTAATTTCAGCTAAACCTTCAAACGCACTCTCCACTTTCAACTTCCTGAGGAGGAATCAATTGGCTGTCAAGTTTCCCAGAGCCTCTGCCACCTCCCACGCCCCGGCCCTGTCAGCTTTCCTCAAGGTCGATGGAGGGATGGGGGAGAGGAAAGAGGCAGGACCCAGCATGCACCCAGGGAGTTCAGGTTTGGGGAAGGCAGTGGGCTGAGGGGACTCATGGGGAGACCTGTAAGAGTCGCCATCGCCTTACCCTCCAAATCAAGCCATAAATCCCTGTAACATGGGGTGACAGGTAAGAGGGGACAGCATGCTGCTTTTGCTGAAGGTCCCTGGGCCTTGGGAAGGGAGGTGGGCACATGCGCAGCCCCTAGACCCAGCCTGACAGCCTGTGCAGAGCAGGGGTCCCCTGCTTGGTGCCTGCCTGCCTTCCCTCCCTCGGCCCCTCTCTCCCTTTCAGGACTCCCTACTAGTGCAGCGAAGACAGACCTCGGTTTGAATCTCAACCTCACCATCTCTTTGCAGCCTGAGAGATGAAGGCCAGAGATGGGCAGGAGGTCCCTTTGGTCCTCTGCTCCCGGTTCACGTCACCATCCCACCCTCTTCCAGGGTCCCCCATCGCACCACACCAGCCTGCTAGAACCATGTGGCCCTGGGGAACCACTATTCCACCCCCCAACTCCACCTCTAAGTAGAAAGAAGTTGAACCAGGTGGGTAAATGCTTCCATATCTTGCCCAAGTCACAAAAGTGGGGTGAGGTTCACCCCAGGTCTGCTGACTTTAGAGCCCTCTCTTAGTTACTGCATTAAAACGGTTACATGCCTGCTGTAGCCCAAACCACAGGCCGCCTACAAAGTCCACTCCCCTCATGTTACAGAGGGTAAACTGAGCTCTCCCAGGGACCCACGGACCCCAAGGGATGGAGGTGAACCCAGCACGGAGCCTCTGATGTCCTGTGGGGTGACTACGGCCCTGAGCTGGCCCACCAAAAGGGCAAGGGCCACCTGAAGGGGCGCAAACAGTCCAGACTCACAAGTGCCCCCGGCTGGGTGGTGACCCTAGACACTCCAGCCCCTCAGTTTTCATGGAAGAGGTGAACAGAATGAGTCCTATAGACTCCGAAACATTGATTCTCCATTAAGCTACATGGCCATAAAGGGGCATGCGCCCCTGTGAGAGGCGCTGTCATCCCGTCACCCAGGTTTGAAACAGCAGCAGAGACAGGAGTTATTCAGGCATGTCCTGTGTTGTCCCTCCCGCCTTCCCCCGGTTCCTGTGTAGGGCTGCACAGAGTAGCAGTCAGCCAGGTGTGTGGGAGCTAGCGTGAGCTCTAGCTGAAGGAGAGAGAGTGTGCTTCCAGCACTGCAAAGAGTCTGCGTGCAAGTCTGTTCCCAAGGCCCAGGCTAGGGGCACCTCTGACCTTCCCCCCAAAACACCCTGCCCTCTACTCTCCAACCTGACCCTCCCCAGATCATGACTGTTCTGGAGCCGCAAAGGGAAACACAATCAGATTATAGTGATGGATTTTACCTATTAAGCACCTATCAAGGGTCAGGCCTGGGCTGATGTGCAGGTCCAGCAGGGCCCTTGGGGGAAGGCAGTCCACCCTCCACTGACAAGGACAGGAGGCTCAAAGAGGCTTAGTGCCTAATGAGGTCACACAAGTCACTGAAGAGCTGGGATGTGAACCCAGATCCCCACCTCTGATCTTTCCAATCCTCCTCCTCCAGCTTCAGCACCAGCTCAGGACTCTGCTGCCCACAGGAAAAGAACAGGGTACCCAGAGAGGGACACAAAACATAGATGTCCAACAGTCCTAGCACCCATGCCTGGTTATGTCACTCAGGAGCCGCGTGACACCAAGCAAACGACTTCACCTCTCTGAGCCTCAGTTCCCCCATCTGTGCCACAGGGATACTACCAGCGCCTCCCCTCAGCAGTGCCGTGAGAAGTGGCTAAACGAATTGAGCGCAGCTGCCATCACGCAGAACCTAACTGGGCAGGCGGAGCAGGAGTCCCGGGGCCTGGCGGGTCAGAGGGCTGGTGCTGGCTCTGATCCACAGGTGGTTTCCACGCCAGGAAACAGAGCGAAGACGCCACTACAGGAAAAACGCCAAGCCTAGCTGGCAATTAAAGAGCTGCAAATTATAGCAACTTCAAGGTGTGATGACACACCTATTAGAGCAGCAAAAGAGAACTGGGTAAAAAGCAACGCTGATGGGGTGCAGGGAGGTGGGGGACAGCGGGTTCTCTTCACAGCCAGAGGAAGTGCATGCTCGAGCTCTGGGGTCAGAGAGACCTGCGTCCAGTGACTTCACCTCTCTGAGCCTCAGTTTTTTCATCTGTAAAATGGAGTGATCAAAATATCAGCTGCAGGGTTGTCTCTGGGATTCAAAGAGATCATATATGTAAGACCCTGAGCACAGAGCAGGTGGCTATTTATTATTAGTCATGTTCCCTAAGGCCCCCTCAAGGCCCCGCCCCAGCTGCCGTGGCTCCAGGTTCAGAAAGGGCAGGACCTGGCTTCTACCCCAGCTGACTCTGCTCAGTGTCACCCAGGCACCAGCTTCCTGGCCCTGCCTGCAGGCTGGAAACCATCCCCCAGGGGGCCAGCCACACCCAGGGAAGGGACCCCAGGTCCTCTTTCAGCACCGGCTTCCCTTTCCTCCTTCCCTTCCCCCCAGAGGCCGATCCAGAGGTTGGAGCTCAGAACCACCTCTTGGGGGAGTTTGTTAAAATGCAGCTATCCTGCCCCTGCGCCACTGCGCGGAAATCTTGAGGGGACCCAAGAATCTGTTTAGAAAGCATTTAATGACACACAGCCAGGAAGGAAAGCCCCATCCCCAGAGCCTGATACTCAAGGGCTCCACCCGACCCAGACTCCGCCCAGCTTTCCAGCCTTCCTCCCCGCCCCCCATCCTTCAGACCCTCAACTCCAATACCACCAGGTATTCGACCATTCTACTAACAGGTCCGTTCCTAGTGCTCCTCCATGCCTTGGCAACTGACGGCCCCACCTGGAATTCCCTCTCACTGTTCCTGTCTACCCAGTTTAAGATCCAGCCCCTTTAAGATCCAGCTCAAATGTCAGTCCCCCGGGGAAGCCCTTCCCAACCATTAGGAACAGCTAGTCACTCCTAGCTCCACTGAACCCCCATTTCACAGTGTACAGTGACAGCCAGGCCTGTGCCCTCTCTGTTCCCTCCACTCAAAAGCTTCTTTCCCCTGCTCCCCATAGGGCTGGCTCCTCAGCCCTTGGGCCTCAGCCCCAATCACACCACTTCTAGGAAGCCCTCCTGGTTTTTCCTGGTTTCCTCCTGCATATCAGGTAGCTCCAACATGCACTCATGACATCAGGGCCTTTATCCCGCTGGTGCTGTCTTGGCCAGCTCCTCCCACTCAGCCCCAGTTCCAAGAATAGTGCTGGCACACAGCAGCCATGCCATAAAAATTGTTGAATGAATGAATGGATGAACAAATGATCAAAAATCCATCTCCCCTACAGACTGTGAGCTCCCAAGGGAAGAAAATGTGTCTACCGTGTCTGGTGACTGGCAGAGTACCGGATGGGGGACACAGGGTAACTGCTACACGGGGAAGCAAAGGGGCACAAAGCTATCTGCGTGTGCAGCATGGATGTTGTGGATACAGAGGGGCATGGAGAGAGTCAGAAATTAGGGGTCACTGGGTTCTGTGTCTATCAAGTTGTTTAGGTTTATGCTAGTGGAACCACTAAAATCAATAGCTAAAATATATATACTGTGTTTTGTTCACTCTAAGATGCCATCAATTTTAAGACAGAGCATTATTTTATGTGCCACCAAGAAAAACCACAGCAATTAAATTATGACACATCATGGACTGTAACATGAGATATTAAAATGTGAAGTGTGTGTGTGTGTGTGTGTGTGTGTGTGTATGAATGTGTGAGGGTGTGTTTGTCTGCCAAACACTAGCCTCTCTTCCCAGGCAGGTCTGGGCCCATCGGCCTGCAGGGCTGTCTGTCCTCCACCTGCTCCCGCCCTCACAGGATGGGACCCCCATGTGGCCCCCAGGGGCGGGGCTGAGCCACAGAGAGGGGAGCAGCTGAGCGAGATCGGATACCTAGAACAAGGGAGGCTGGATGCTCTCCCGGTCCATGAGGCTCCAGGAAGGGGGGCTGTGGGGTCACAGAGCAGCACCCCAGGCCAGGTGGCGATGGTGACGCAGAGATAGTTACCGTGACCCGGAACGGCGTAGCGGCTGAGGGCTCCATGTTGGGGCTCTTCTCCGACAGGCTGCCGGGCAGGCTGCGCCGGGAGCCTGGCCTTTCTTGGGGCGACTCTGTCAACAGAGGGAGAGAGAGGGTAAGCATGGATAGCTGAGGCCACCCGCTCAGGCCCTCCTGTCATTCCATCCTGGCCAGGACAACAGGTCCCCATAAAATAGTACAGCCACTGTAGAAAACAGTTTGGCAATTCCCTTCAAAATTAAAGACAGAATTATCACAGGACCCAGCAATTCCACTCCCAAGTATGTACCCCAAAGACTTGAAAACAGGGACACAGACAAATACTTATATGCAAATGTTCATAGTAGCGTTATTCACCACAGCTGCAGGTAGAAGCAACCCAGGTGCCCATCAGCAGATGAATGGATGGACACGGCCATGCATCCACGCAATGGAATGTTATTCCCTCGTGAAAAGAAACGAAGGTTCTGACCCATGCTGCAGTGAGGATGAACCCTGAACACATGCTGAGTGACATGATCCAGACACAAAAGGACAATTACTGTGTGAGTTCACTTACATGAAATACCTAGAACAGGCAAACTCATAGAGATAGACAGTAGATTAGAGATTCCCAGGGGCTGTGGACAGGGAAGGGGGGTGGAGGAGGTAGAGAGGTGAGTTATTGCTTAATAGATACAGAGTTTCTGTTTGGAGTGATGGAAAAGATTTAGAAATGGACAGTGTTGATGGCTGCACGACATTGTAAATATATTTAATGCCACTGAATTTACACTCAAAGTTATTAAAATGGCAAATGTTATGTAACACATATTTAGGACAATTTTTTTAAAATTCACCCAAAACCCATACTTCAAGCCCTACATCTTGAGACACAATGAGCTCCCCGTTCTTGGAGGCATACAAGAAGTCCCTTCAAACATGAGAATCTATGACCCCTGCTTTCCAGCTGAGACCTTCTTTTCCATCGGCTTTAAACGAGAGAAGTTCAAGGGCCTGGCAGGTTATGGAATCAAGGGTAGCAGCCAGCAACCGAGGGCCCAGTGCAGCTATAGCTTCCCCCAGTTCAAGAGAAGCAGGAAATCTGGGATTTTTAAAATACAAAATATTCTGATTTCTAAATGGTGACAGCTCATTCAAAACTGGTAGCCACGGCCTGAGAATGCCTATTTAAAACCTTCCGAGTCAGTCCAACCTGGCTGCGTCCCTCACTGGTAACCCCACACCATGCTTGGCACTGGCAGATTCTTTCCCACTGCTCCAGTGGTGGACCCCACAGATGGCTCCCTTCCTGCTCCTTCCAGCCTGACCCATCCTGCAGGCCTTGGAGAGGACCCTTGGTAACTCCCTCTGCCCCCGGCACTCTACCCACTTCTGGCTCCTATAGCAACAGCCAAGGCAAGTCTCTCCTATCAACATTCTCATTTTGCAGAGAGAGAGAGAGAGAGCAAAAGAGAGCGAGTGAGCGAGCGAGCGAGAGAGAAAGACACCTCTGCTTGACTGCAAAACTCCCAACACCCACGCCTCAGCTGGCTGCACTCCCATGTCCCCCGCGCCCTGCGTGGAACCTGCTGCCTGCAGGTGCTTGGGAAAGACCTGTTGACTTGAAAGGAAGAAAAAGAACAGGGCAGAGGTTCCCCCGATGCATGTGAACACACACAGGTGCAGTCAGAGGTGCACACCCAGCAAACACACTCACACGTGATCGTCCATGCAGAAACTCCAACATGTGTCGGCTCAGACCCACCCCCAGCTACACATCCCTGTGTGCATGGTGCACACACACAGGGCAGAGGAGGAGGCGCGGGCTTTCCCAGAGGCAGAATGGGCTACTGCGGGGGATGTCTACACTCTCCCGTCCATTCTCACCATGCAGCCCATTGGACAGGGGCCTTCAGAAGTGTGGGAGGAGAGAACGGAGCCCCTCACCCCACTAGGACAGGCTGCAGTGCTGACCTCTGGCAACAACCAAGCAGACAAAGCCTCCTTGGGCCTAGGAAACGAGGGCCACCGGCAGGGGTAGGTTCAGGCTCAGCTGATCACCAGGCAGGCCTGGGGCAGGGGTGGATACCAAGTCTGGGTGTGGGCTAGCCAGCCCTGGGCCACCTGTTCCAGAACACTTCCTCCCCATGACCCTCCTCAGCCCAGGGACTGCTTCTCTGTGGTGCTCCCGATGTAGGCTTTTCCTTACTCCTCCTCCAGGATCTCTGCTAGTCGCACTTTAGGGAACACCCACACTTTCTGGGGTTTCCCCAGGAAATTTCTTCCGACGCTCACAAGTCTGCCTTCACCTCTCCCCACTCCCAGCACCCCACCCTGGTTGCCTCCATAACCAGTGTCCCACCCACATGTGAGGCACTGTGCTCAGCCTCCAGAAGCCTCTCAGGAGCTACCCTCCTTTCACGTGCATGCGTACACACACACACACACACACACACACACACACACACACACCTGGCCACAATGCCTGTCCCAGGTAGGCAGGTCATCATGGCTCTAGCCGGGAGACACAAGGAGTCACCTGGTAAAACGCGAGAAGCGCTCCTCTGAGACCTAGTCCGATGCTCCCACAACCTGCGCAAACTATCGCCTCTTGCTTCCTGGATTCTCAAAGGTGGCTTGGCCCAACCACCCATCTTACCAATGAGGAAGCTGAGCCCGGAGGAGAGGAACTTGTCCATGAGCCCCTAACCCAACAGGTCTATAGTAAGGATCATCTCGGCTGCTCCCAAAATGACCTTAAACTTCAATTCCGAAGCCCTGGCTGCACCCGTCTGCATCAGAAGGTGGAAAGGCAGCGAGGAGGCCACAGGGCAGGACGGGAGAGCCAGGGCAGGGCCTGCACTCCAGAGGAAACAGGAGAGGCTTGGTCCCTTTCTAGGCAGCTTCCGCCTGGCCCCAGCTCCAATCTCCACCTTCTCCACCTTCTGCTCCAGGGGGCTGTTGACCTGTGTAGATGGCACCAATGAGCTTCATGGGGTCTGCCTGGCCAATGGGAAACCCTGGCAGGAGATCAGGGAGGAAGGAGAGTCTCCTGGGTGGCGTGCCTCCCTCCACTGAGGTCCCAGCCACCACCAATGACCCCAGCTCCCGGGCTCGCCCCCCCCCCCCCCGAGGGCGATCAGCCCCTGCCCACTGCCTCTGGGCTCCTGCACTCCTCTTCGTGGTTCCCCAAACCCGCCCACCCACACCTCACATCATCCTAAGTGCCACCTGCTTCCTGCTGCACCCCCGCTGACCCACCAGGCGATACTCAGTGGCTGAGAACCAACCAGTTCCCATCCGTGCAGCTGGCCGGACCTCCTTTCCATCTGGACGGGAAACCGGGCCCTGGTCACACAGTATCGGGGCAGAGCCTGGGCCCAGACAGGCCCTCTCCTGACCCGCCACCAGACAGCTTCCCCAAGCCTGCCCCAAGCTCTAACCACAAAGTCGCAGTCATAACCTCACGGTCCCTGGGTTCTGGACCAGCATTTCCTCATTATCCTTCCCCTTAGGAGTCTTTTCAGACACATTTTTCCTAGTTTCTTCCCATAAAAATTTAATGCCACATATACAGTATATTTTATGCGCCGTACATATATTGGGCTTTATACAAAAAAAAAAAAAGAGTGAGATTTTTGTCACGCACACCTCCTCCAAAAACCAATGTTTTGCCCACTCGAGGTCACTATTCCCCCGTGGCGAATGCAAGTTCTGAACCCACTCAAATGTAGTCTCCACACGACAACATGGACAGCTGTCGTGAGCTCCATTTTCCAGATGAGGAAACTGAGGTTCTGAGAGGCAAGTAACTTCCTCTAAAGTTCCTCCAGGTAGGAAGTAAGAGTATACGCTGAAATCCCCTTGCACTATCCCCCCAAAAGCCACACTGAGGCCTCAGAGAAGGCTGAGAGTACCTGGGGCAGGCGGAGGGGGAGGAGTCCAAGGCTGGACCGGCAGGCAGGGTTCCTCAACCCTGACTCTGCTGTGTGCCTCCAGGCCAGCCCCTTTCGGTCTCTGAGCTCCTGATTTCTCAGCCATGCAGTGAGTCAGGGCGTCGGAGCAGTGACCATCTCTATTCCTCCCTCCCCACCACCAAAACAATAACAAAACCTTTATTTTACACAGGCAACGAAGACGGAAAGTTGACCCCTGAGTCCTAACTCTGCCTCCAGGGATTTAGCCCCAGTCCTTGAAAAAGACACAACTGCCTTTGGCCCTTGATTCTGCAACATGTCTTTTTGAATTTGGGGAAGCAGACACTGAGAAGGTTGGGCCTCATGCCCCCAGAGGTCTAAGCAACACAGATGGTACAGCATAAAGGTGGCACCCCCAGGGACAGACTCCAGGAAGGCCTCCTAGAGTCTCCTCGAGACATTGGAGCACCGGTCCAGTAGTCTCCCCTCAGCTCAGGCTCGCTGTCTGACCTCCACATGACCTCCCAGGCTTCAGTCTGCAACATCAGCCACAGAACCAGCTGATCCTGGATCTCCTTTCCACTAAGAGGTCAAAAGAGTCTCCATGGTACCCGAGAGGCCACGCTGCCTTTCTATTCTTGGAAACCACAGCCAGAGAAACGCATTTTAACCTTCACGCGTTTGCAAAAAATAAATAAAATAAAATCGGTTTCATTCAAATGCTGCTGGCTTGGTTGTCATGGATACCACCTAATCATGAAGGATGACTGTTACTTGTTCCCATGGAAACATGGAGGCCTGAGGAACATCCTGTAATTTCAGACAAGACACCAAATTTTAGTTGTTGAGTTGCAATGCCCAGATCTTAATGCTTAAAAACAGGTAGAGGCAGCCACCTCTAATACTGGTGTCAGGAGAAAAGTCAGCATGGGAGGAGAGAGAAGAGGTGCGTGTGTGTGCTGGAGCTCAACAGTGATCATGAAAATGAAAATTAAAACTCCCAGGTACCACTTCATACCCTCCAGATAGGCAAAAATGAAAAAGAACACTGACCCCAAATATTGACAGGACTGTAGGAAAATCTTTCATCACTGCTGGTGAAGTGAAAAGGGTTTGGAGAACAGTTAGAAAAAACCGATGCGCACATTGACTCTGGGACCAGAAATTTCCCTCCTACATGTCCAGTCTAGAAA